CACACGCCCCCTTCCTAAAGGAAGGAGGCGAAATGAACCATTTTCATTCATCTGGAGCGAAGCGCACGAAAGTGAGCTCGTAACATTGTGATCGGCTCAGTGAATGCCACATACCGTCCGGTCTGGTGATCTCCCGCACCCTGTGTAGTAGTATTTTCTTGACGTGGTCGATGGAATCTGAAGAGTGGCAGGTGAAATGAACACCGGTGCAACGATCTTCCGGGAGGTGTACTCCGACACGTACCAAATGTGATTGTGCAGGAAATCCTGCTGGTGCCGCCGTGCGTTTCATTGCGAAAACGATTGACGAATGTTCGCTTTGATCCATAATGACTACAAAAGACATTTTGATGCAAACACGTACAACATGTGTTGACCTGCAAAACAACATGCAAACATAGACTCACTTGCATTCCCTTGCGCACTTCGTTGCAAAACAACATGTTTCTGTAGCAAACTTATACTGATCGTCAAAATTCAACTGTGCGGTTGGGTATCCGGCACCGTGAAGGGCAGATTCTGTTGTTGCGCTTGCTATTTGAGAGTGTTCAAGTCAGCTAATAGTTGAAGGAGGAGGTCGAGGTCCGTTTCTGTTTGTCGAAAAGTTGCAGAGGCTCAGGCCTCCAAAACTGCGACAACAGTTGGAGTTGCAAACTCGACGGGGAAGAAACTGCTAAAGCACAGGTGGTCGGATAGTCCGAAAACGCTGTAAATGCCGTGCAAACGCAGGTGCTGCCAAAAAGATTTGAACACTCCTGTAACCCGAAGCGCAACATCTTATAAATATCAAAAACAAAGATGCCAGCTGCACGTGGGAGGAGTAGGAGGGTTTGCTTTTGAAGTACTGTGTGGTGTGTGCGCGCTAGGTGTGGAGATATTTCTCGGGGTGTCCGCGAAACAGTGTCGTGATCATCCCCCGAAAAAACTTCTCCCCAATTTCGAGTTTTCGCCGAAATCCCTCCGAAAGCCCAAATTCGGGATCGCAAAGTCCAGAAGTCGGTCTGGTGACTATATAACACGGTCCGACATCAAGAAAGTACGTAAATACCAAGTAAAACGGCTCTTGTGGAGATATTGTTCGGGGTGTCTGTGTAACAATGTCGTCATCATCACCCCCGACCCCCGCACCCCCCCAACCCCAATCCGAAGCCCAATGTTTCCAGAATCCAGAAATGGATTTTGAGGAAAGAAGAAGTGGTATGACACGACGAAGGTACCGTAAATACGGAGTAAAACGGATGTGCTCTTAAGCGGGTGTGTAGCAAAGGTAGTGGTAAGGGGGAAGCTGTGCTCTTAAGCGGGTGTGTAGCAAAGGTAGTGGTAAGGGGGAAGCGGGCCTACCACTACTACAACTACTACCATTACTACCGCTACTACCACTGCTACCACTACTACTACTACTACTACTACTACTACTACTACGACTACGACTACTACTACTACTACTACTACTACTACTATTACTACGACGACTACCACCACAACCACCACCAGCCCCCACCGCCACCACTACTATTACTGCTACTACTACTACTACTACTACTACTACTACTACTGCTACCACTACCACTACCACCAC